GCTCTTCCTTGTAAAAGAGGCAGGAAGATGGGGAGTTCCCAAAGGTGCTGTTAGCGTCCTTGACTTTGCTGTAGTCTGTCTTCTGCCACTTGAACCACTCTCTGCACTGATCTGCTGTCCAGTCAATCCCCAATGCCACCAGCTGATCAGATATAGTTTTGCAGACATGATCATTTTTTGTGCTCTGGCTGAAGTCAGATGTCTCACACCAGAAGTAAACCAGAATCTGGCTGTGCTCCTCTTGACAGCTAGCAACGTGCCTGATGCAGGACTTCATCCTACTGCTGGCCATAGCTAATACATGTTAGCATTGATTGTATTGTTTCCAATTCAATAGTCCACCTGGAAATGAAGGGTTAAATCCCAAGCAGCTGCTTTTGAATGAGGAGGTTGCTTCTGGTTCCTGGGAAGCGAGGGGCAAGTTTTGGAATTGAAGGGCTGGGAAGCAAAGCACCAAGTGAATGTGGGACAGTGTTAGTGGACTCTCCAAATGTGAGACTGGTGATGCAGGCTTGAGCTGCATCCATACTGCAAAATGCCTGCGCTCTGACCTGCCTCACAGGACTTGGCTCTGTGTTCCGTCCCCCCCCCCCCCCCAGCCCTCGGAGGGTATGTGGGCCTAAATCAAGAGTGGTTCCTGGCCCGAGTCAGACTAATTTCTGTGTGGACAAAAAGGGGGGCTTGGGTTTGAACCTGAGTCTAAGCCGAGGCTTAGCGTGCTGTGTAGACATACACTAGGTGTTCAGGCCAAATCCTATCTCAGGTTCTGAATATCCCCTCCAATTCCAGGGACCCTGAGTGGCTACAAGGCCATAGTATTCTCCTCCCCTTTCTGGCACCCTACAAGAACTCTACAGTATCAGGCTTCGCAGGGGATTTATGGGTGAGGCCAGGATGGGAGGGGTACGTACTCTCATAGCATTCTCCTCCATTCACGTAGTATGACTAAGTTGTGTAATATATATTTGAAAAGATTTTAAATGTAATAATATAATTGGCATTTTTGTTTAATAAACTCAATAGAAATAGAGTAAAATTTAAAAAATTAATAAATATAATCTGAAAAGGTCCATTCAGAAAACCTTATTGTAGAAAAGCAATCACACTCTTGATTTTCTATTTCCATTATAGAAACAAGCTATGTTCCTTATTACAGTCAAAAGGGGAGGGACACAATATAGCACCATCTTACTGATCCACGGCCCCATAATTTATCACAAAAAGCTCTCCCTAGTTCTCAACAAAGATTTAATAGCACAAGCTGTAGAAAGGATCCACATATCAACATTAAGTCTACAAAATAACTATACTACATCAATATACTACATATTTACTAGTACAGTGTATGCTTCAAAATATTACCATAAACATTTACAATACAACATATAAACATAGTTCAAGCCAGTAGCAAAACTTGCATTGAGATCAATGGGAACAGGCTCTAATTTGTCATTCATCTCAGGGCCGGCTCCAGGCACCAGCTTACCAAGCAGGTGCTTGGGGAGGCCACTTTGGAGAGGGGCAGCACGTCCAGCTGTTCAGCGGCAATTCGGCGGACGGTCCCTCACTCCTGCTCGAAGCGAAGGACTTCCCGCTGAATTGCTGCCGCAGATCGCGATCACGGGTTTGTTTTTGTTTTGTTTTGTTTTGTTTGGCTGCTTGGGGCGGCCAAAACCCTGGAGCTGGCCCTGATTCATCTGCAATGGGTCTTCCATTCATTTATTCAAACTAGTGAGGTTCTGTTCTATACTAATAAAAGGATACCCAGTCAATGGCCATCTTGTTAAAAAATTAAATGACTTGTGGAATTAGTAAAGAAAGAGAATGTAAACTGATTGTCACCTTGTTTTATTAAAGGCTTAACAGTCATAACAATTATTATTTAATTAATATTTAATTTTCAAATATATTTCTGGCTTTTTAACCATTATTTAAGAGATCTGGAAACTTGTTTAAACTCACTGTCGCCTATTAATGATAGGATTTTTTTTTTATTTACTTGCCAAGGAACAACCTGAATTTCAACTTTGAATGAGCAACAAGAAAATATGTTGGTCCCAAAACTTAAATTGTAGCCAGGGTCTATGCTGAGCTTGAGGAGAGGGAGTGATGGTTGCTGCAACTAAACATATGAAAAGCCAATCTGATGCAGGGGCATTTTTTTCCTCTCAAGGACAAGCTACTGATCTCTAGTGCATGACTGTTGGACGTGTCCAACCTTACGCTGAAAATGAAAACCGGGTTCTAGCAGTCCTTGTACATGTCACAGCTACATCCCATACCACATTTCAGGGAGAGCACAACATACAGAATTAGCCATGTCTCTGTGATGTGCAGTTTGTGGCACATCTGGCTGAGATGCAGCTGTGGAAAGTATTTAGCAAAGCTGAAGTGTGGGCAGACAAATCATCTGTTCCTTCTGTCGTTCAAAGATGCTTCCCAGCGGGAGATCAGTATTTGTCTTCACCCTGAGACTGGACAACTTGGTCAGTCATTGCATCCAAGAGTTTTAAGGACCAGTCAGCCAGTGCTTAATTTGTAATGAAAGAGGTGCTGGGCCTCAAGCAACGATTTACTTTCATAACTGATGCGGCAAGTCCAGAGGTGCCGGGGATAAGCCCTGGCAGTACCTGGCACAAATTAAGCACTGCAGTCAGCAGTGTGTTTGGTGGGCAGCATGCAACTAAACTTGTCTGGACTGGGTTTTGGATATTTAAGGCTACTAGATAATATGATATTTTCTAGCCTGCTTCAGACGGATTTCCACACTGCCATTGTCATGTAGTTTATGACTTTTCAACAAGAGGGCCACCTCCAGAATTAGAATTTTACAAATATCATTATTTACTGTTTGTTCGACAATAGTGCTTAGAGGACCCGGTCAAGATCAGGGCCTCTATTGTGCTATTATCAGTTTATTCAAATAACAAATATTTTATACCTTGTGCACTGTTAGGTTGTTGAACTGAGTCAAATGAGTGCTAGTACCTGGAGTTATTTAAATTTCTTATTTTGTCTTTCTGTTGAATTTCTGGTTGTCTTGAAATATTACAATTGACATATCTGTGCTCCTTCTTTAAGAAATATATTTGAGATTTCAGAACTAAATAGACCAAAGGCTGTAAAAGGTCTCACACATTTAATAAATATTTTAATATATATAAAACCTTTCCTCTTTTGACTTTCTAAAGGGCTGCAAAATAGCATTAATTAAAAGGTTTTCTGAATACTTGTCCTGAAACTGAAAGCTTTATTACTAAATGGTATTTTCATATGGCAGTTGTATCACAGGTGAACCCTCTCAGCTTTTTCACAATTTTTTTCTACATCCATTATAATTAAGGCTGCGAGTTTGTCATGGAGGTCATGGAAGTCACGGATTCCATGACTTTCCGGGACCTTCATAACTTCTGCAGTGACTGGTGCACCTGCCCTCTGGGCAGCTCAGGCAGCCCCTGCACCAGTTGCACTGGCCGCTGCTGGGGCAGTCTCGGGCCACCACCCCTCCGCCCCCCAGCAGCAGCAGAGTTTGGGTGTGGGAGGAGGCAGGGAATTGGGGCATGAGAGGGGGTGAGGTGGGCTCTGGGCGGTGATTACCTAGGGGGCTCCCTGGAAGCAGCGACATTCCCCTCGCTCAGCTCCTAGGCGGAGGCGTGGCCAGGCAGCTCTGCGCACAGCCTCCGCCTGCGGGCACTGCCCCCGCAGCTCCTATTGGCCGTGGTTCCTGGCCAATGGGAGCTGCAAAGCTGGCACTCTGGGCAGAGGCAGTGCACAGACCTGCCTGGCCACACCTTCACCTAGGAGCTGAGCAAGGGGCATGTCACCACTTCCAGAGAGGCACGGAGCCAGGTAGGGAGCCTGCCAGCCCCGCCAATCCCCCCTGGGTCTCGGACTGCATGCCACTGCCTGTGCCTCCCCCCCAGCACCAGCGGGGGTCCTGGGCCACCGGGCCACCCACCCCCCCAAGCACACGCGGCGCCCCCAGATCGCCCCCTTCCCCACAAGATTTAGTCAGGGGTATATAGTAGAAATCATGGACGGGTCACAGGCCGTGAATTTTTGTTTACTGCCCATGATCTGTCCATGACTTTTATTAAAAATACCCGTGACTAAAACATAGGCTTAATCATAATGGGACAACCACATGACCATCTTCAGAGTCATGTTTTGAATGAGCTCTCCCCTGACATCTAGTGATGCGCTGTGGAAGAGGACTTTAAGAGCTGATCTTGTTTGCAAGGGCACACCCACCATGATGGGATTGCTTGCCCAAATAATCACTTTTGGCTGATGTTGGATCCCCAGTCTCCTTGTTATTGGGGCAGGAGTAATAAAGGGTTGTTATTCTTGTTGTGTGACTCAAGGGCAGCAGAACTGTACTTGGCATACCCCAATTGAGGGACTCACCCTCAATGAAATGGCACTCGCTAGGCAGGGGACATGGGTTCCAAAGCCTGGTGAGTAGAGAGAGAGGGTGGGTCCTGCTTAAGGATCTTAGATGCCATTTGACCCTTCCTCTCTCCACTATGTAATAAAAGAGCTAATTTAGATTCAATTGAGAGTCATTACACACTGCAGAACTCTGAAATCACTGATACCTAGGTCTGAGTGTTAGACTTGCTTTGAACAGTGTCTCTTATGCAAGAGACTGTCCGGTGTGCACCAGCAGTGAGGCTCCCCCGCTAACAGCTGTGATCACTGAGAGCTGTGTTAAGTGGTGGGACCTGAAGACATCCTGACGGATCGATGATTGGCTGGCAAGGCAGCCAGTGGAGAGGACTGGAATGGAACCCTGCAGAGAGGCATTGCAATCAGCCAGCAGGGTGACTGGTGGAGAGGAGCGGAGTGGAGCAGAGCCCAGCAGAGCGGCTGGCGGAGAGGTGAGGTGATTGGTCAGCAGGGTGGGTGGCGAAGAGGATCGGAGCGAAGCCCGGTGGAGAGGCATGGTGATCAGCCAGCAGGGTGGCTGGGGCAGAGGTGCGAAGTGCCAATCAGCTGGCATGGCGGCCAGCGAAGAGGAACAGCGAGCAAGTGCCCAGGCAGCAGAGCAAGTTAGATAACTTCTTATCTCCCCCTCCACCCAGGGTGGGAAGTGAGCTCTGCAGATGTGCTTCTGAACTCTGCGTTTACGTTGACCAAGGACAACTGTGAGGGGGGTGCAGAGAAGGGACAGGCATGTTAAAGGGTCTTTTGGTTGCTGGACTTAAGAATCTGAGGGAAAAGGACACTGCCCAACTTACTTGAGGGTGGGTCTTTTGCTCATGGTTTATGATTATGAATAAGGCTAAGCTTTGTCACGGATATTTTTGTCACGGGCAATAAACAAAAATTCATGGAAGCCCCTGACCTGTCCCTGACTTTCACTAAAAATATCCCTGACAAAAGGGGTAGACGGGTTCAGCACCCACTGCTGCTGGGGCTCCCAGGTCCCCCACCGCTGTGGTACGTGGGAGCGCTGAGGTCCCCCTGCCCATGGGGCTGGGCTGCTGTGGGGTCTCCTCGCCACCAGGGCAGCTGGGAGCTGCAGGGTCCCCCAGCTACTGGCCACAGCTGGGCAGCTGCAGAATTCGCTGGCTGCCCAATGCGGCTGGGCAGTTGCAGGATCCCCCAGGGAGTCCCCGCTGCCTGCCGCGGCTGGGCAGCTGCAGGGTCTTGCCGTGGCTGGGCAGCTGCGGGTAGTCCCCCGCCCCCTGCCGCGGCTGGGCAGCTGCCGGGAGTCCCCTGCCCTCTGCTGTGGCCTAGCAGCTACAGAGTCCACCAGCCCCCTGCCACTTGTCGTGGCTGGGCAGCTGCAGGGTCCCTCCACCAGGGTGGGGGCTGGGAGATGCGGGGGCAGACCTGGCTGGGAGCTCCAGCCCCGGGGCAGAAAATGTCATGGAGGTCAATGGAAGTCACAGATTCCGTGCCCTCAGTGACATAATCGTAGCCTTAATGATGAACCCTGTTTGCAGTGTTTTCCCAAATTAATGCCAAGTTACTTCCCTCCTTTTATTAAAAGTTTCTTTGCTAGACTCAGACTCTGTGCTTGTGAGAGGGGAAGTATTGCCTCTTAGAGGCACCCAGGGGTTGGTGTGTAATTGTCCCAGGTCACTGGGTGGGGGCTCGAGCCAGGTTTTGTATTGTTGAAAAGGAACCTCTAGATACTGAACCCAGCCCTTGTTGCTGCCGACTCTGACTGGCAGAAGGGTTACAGTCATAATAATCACACCTGTAATTTTCTATTCACAGTCAGTCAGGATGCAGCCATGTGTGAGAAAGGTCAGGCTCAGCACACTCTTAGTCTAATCATTCTCCAGACTGGTCTCGGAGCCACAGACAACAGTGCAAGGAAACAAACCAACTATTATTAATTATCTGACTTCAGTAAACAGGCTGTTAAAATGCAGAAAGTAATTGACTTGTGTTAAAATACCTTTCGGCAGAACCATCTTAACTGTGTGTTTTGGTTTTTAGAACTTTTAAAATATATATTACAACACAATTTCAGAGGTAGCAAAAAGACAAAGATGTCAAATAGAACAGCCCAGGACAGAAAGTTTTCTGACCTTTTGAACTGAGGACTAAGGGAATATTTATTCTGAACTGTGTAGCAATGGATTTCTTCAAGTTTGTAGGGTCTGAATGATTTATTAATATAAAGGTCTCCATTAGGGTTCCAGCACCAGTGCTTCATTGCTGGGAATAATATATGAGGGAGAAATTAAGTTTTTAACCTTTTCTTCAGGGAAACACTACTTCTCAGAATTATTTGAGTCCAGCAATGGTGACGAAGAAGAGATGTTAGTATGTGAAGAAGATTTAGAGCATAATCCTTTTGATGGCTTACCATACTCATCTCATTATTACAAACTTTTGAAAGAAAGAGAGGAACTTCCATTTTGGAAAGTGAATATCCTTCCATGGAGAGTCTTCTTCGTAATCAAATTGTGATTGTTTCAGGAGATGCTAAGAGTGGCAAAAGTTCCCAAGGGGGTAGTACAGAATACTTACCAAGTGCTATTTACTTAATATTTAATATTGAGTTCATATATTTTCCAAGAGCAGATTTCCTTAACTGCTTTCCTAATAACATTGTTAATTATTAAAACTGAAATAATTTTTAAAATTTAATTTATGGTTCACTATTTTTGCTGCTCTGCTTATTTATTATTAAATTTATATTATGCTGATATCGAGAGGCAACAGTCAATATCAAGGCCCCATTGTGCTATGTACTGTAGTGTACTGTAATATTAAGACACTGTCCTTGTCCTAAAGAGTTTACTTACAATGCAAGGGTAGATCCTGTGCCCACAAAGTCCTATTTGACTTCAGTGGGGCTTTGTGTGGACACAGGGATCTGCCCACACATTGTAACTTGAAGGATTGGAGCCTAAGATAAGTGAAATATGAAAGGTGGAGGGAGAGCAATATCAAATATATACACTATTTATATTTAAATGTACAATTCCACTATTTTTCCTGATAATTATAAATAGGTAAAGTAAGTGGCATCTATTTCCAGCTGCCTGCCAAGCCATTATTAATTGGCTGAGTTCTTGTAGGTTTTGGGAAAGGCAAGTATTGGGTTTTAATCACTGAATTTCTTGTAATATGCAATAAATAGTCAACAAAGGCCTCAAGCTAAAATTTTAAAAGTACTCTTTAGAAATGTCAGACTCTTATTTATACACTAAACACCACCTGCACACTTATCAGATCCTAATAATTCTGCACCAAATAGTCACATACGTATATGTAGAAAAACTCTGTACCAACTACATGTGGACCTATCAGTATATAACAACATTGCTCCATATACTTTTGTTTTACCTATATATAACAATATCACATGTAAAACTTGAATATCTTTTAAGTTTACCTGTACATTTTCAGGTTTGTTAAAAAAGACAAGGTGTGAAATCCTGGACCTATTGAAGTCACAGAGAGCTTTTCCACTGACTTCAAAGGGACCAGGATTTAATCCAAACATTTTAGAAGGTAGAATGAATTCAGAAAGCTTTAGTGTAAAATGGAGTACGTTAAATTGTTATTAGTTGAGTGTTATTATCTTGCATTTGTCTACATTTAATTTAATCTGCCATTTTTTTGCTCAATTGCCTAATTTTGTCAGCTCCTCCCTAGAAACTACTAAAACTACACATTTTTTCCTTTTCTCAAAAAAATGTTGCCATCATGCAGTTCACCCTTATTTCAGATTGTTAATAAATATTTTGAATAATAGTCTTGTCTATACTATTCCCTAGGGCATCTGACTATTAACTTCTTTTCATGTTGAGGCCTGCACATTTATGTGTGCACTGTTTACTGTATTTCAACCATTTTAATCCATGACAGAATTTTTGAAAGTTTATGTAAATTACACCACTCATTTTGCATTATCTATTATTTTAAACTATCTTTCAAAGTAAAATTAAATGGCAGATTTAACTCATTAAACTTTCAGTGAATTCCAAATGGTCAAAGGTTTGACTCATGGTATGGGTTAATTCCTTGTTGAGAGAGAAATGAGTGACTTGGACACAGGATACTCTATTCCTGTTTTAATTTATTGACAACCATATACCATCTTGGGGCATGTCTACATGAAAACTTACAATGCACACTAGGGAACTTTTAGTGCACATCAGCAGGGTCCACAGACAGTTAGCAGGTGGCATGCTGGAATGTTGTAGATTTAGACCCCATCTTGCTGCATAGTAAATGTTCATGTAGCCATGCCTTTGGATAGGAAAATTAGGCCTTTCTACACAAGAAGATTATACTGATGTAACTGAACCCGTTTAGAAGTTGATTTTGTTAAATGAGTACAGCACTCTTATGGATAATCTCATTTTGGTTTATGAGTGTCTTGTATGCATATTCATTAAAAAATGTTAAAAGAACATTAAGATTGCAAAATCATGTACTCAAAGGTTAGGAAATCGAGAATTAAGATTGCTTTAATTCAGCCCATTTGTGCATATGCATTATGATGCAGTCTTTAATTACGTGATTAAATTTTATTTTTTTTCCACAAGACCCTGCCTCATTCAAAGCACAGGATAGATGTTGTTCCCTAATTAGCAACTATTCAATATTTTGTTTTATCCTAATTGTTCAGTGAGTCTTATTTACTGCACAATTTCAAACCTGCTCTGAAGACAGAATTGAATAATTTCCTCTGTGGCAGGAGTTCTCAGCCTTTTTCTTTCTGAGCCTCTTCCCCCCAATGTACTATAAAAGCTCCATGGCCCAGCTGTGCCACAGCAACTGCTTTTTTGTATATAAAAGCCAGGGCCAGCGTTAGGGGGTAGAAAGTCGGGCAATTGCCTGGGGCACTACGCCACAGGGGGTACCATGAAACTAAATTGCTCAGGCTTCAGCTTCAGCCCTGGGTGGTGGAGCTCAGGGCCCTGTGTTGCAGTCCCATGTGGCGGGGCTTCGGCTTTCTGCACTGGGCCCTACCAAGTCTAATGTCAGCCACGCTTGGAGGCCCCCCTGAGTCCTGCTCGCAGCCCCTCAAGGAGCCCCAGACTCCTTGTTGAGAACTGCTGCTCTATGGCACTCATATCTTTAGTATATGAGTGCTTCGTAAACATTAAATAATTAATCTTCACAATAACCCTATGAGATGAGGGGGTGGTATAATACCCATTTTATGGAACTAAGGTCAACGATTATGGTCAAAAGTTTCCACTAATTTTGGATGCCCAATTTGAGACAACTAGGACCTGATTCTTCCAAGTACTTGGCATTATAAAGCCCTTTGTATGTTCAAAGCACAGCTCCCATTGATTTCAGTTGCAGCTGTAAATGCTCAGTACGTCTGCAAATCAGACCACAGGGCATCAAGTCAGGCAAACAGTGACCTGTGATCTGTTTGGTAGAAGTGACTTGACTAGTATCCCGTAGGAAGTTGCATGGTAGAGACAGGGATAGAATCCAGTTCTCCAAGGCAGCATACAACTGCCTAACCGTGAAGCCATCCTTTTTCTTCCTGCAGTACCCTACTTCATTCACTGCACACCTTCCAACTTCTGCAACAAACGAAGCAGGAGTCCTACACACACAATCTCTTTCATATGCAACCCTTATTCAGTCCCAGAGCAGGTCCCGTGTACTGAATGAGTCAGAGAACCCTGTGGAAAAAATAGCATATGATCATGAAATTAAAGAATATATCATAATGCATGCACACAAGGGGGCCAAATTAAGATTTCAATCTTATTTCTGGCATTTTCTAACCTTTTGTTGCTTGACTTTGAAAACTTAATAATGTTTTTTTAAAGTTTCTAGGTTTTTAAAAATGCAAACTAACAAAAAAAAAAAAACAAGAAATCCCATCATGTGGCACCATATTGACACAGATATGGATTGGAACTTTTAGATTCACCACACAGACCCTTGCTATTTGATCTAACAGACTAACCAATAGCAATAGTAAATTATCATTCCTTATGTGGACCATCACTAGAGGAGAATGGGAGACACATTTTGCCTGTATGTTTCACGGATGTTTGCTGACAACAGAGGAATGATGAGACTCAGGAATCTTGAGTTCCATTCCAGGCACTGGAGGGAAGTGTGCCTTAGTGGGAAGAGAATTTTCTGGTCATTTCCTCTACGCTTGAGCTTTTCTGCCCTATTCCTTCTAACATGGACCTGTTCCAGTCCAGGCTTCTGGTTCCAGTCCCACTCTTTTTACCTTCCCAGCCTCAGTCTCCACTCCTCAGGATTCTCATGATTTTTAAGCCCAGGGGAACTTAAATTCATAACTTTGCTAGACACTAAAAATCATGGACTCAACAGAGACACTGGCTTTATGTCTCCTACAACAATAACCCACTAGCCCTCCTTTGTCCCGTGACTCCAGAGGTGTTAAATGCCTGTAGGAACACACAGCTCCCAAATTGCTAGCTCACGGCTGCGGCACACTGCACCCGTGGCTGCAAGGCCGGAGCGGCCTACACCCCCACGCCTGTGATTAA